GAGTGGATGCAATTGATATTCCGTAGGTGTCTCTTCCGGGCCGAGCTGCTGGCGCCTCCCCCAGCGAAACCACCTGCGATTGTGTTAATCACTCCCCGTAATGGGGTTGTCCCTGTCTCCTGGCTTATCTCAGCTTGCATTACGCCACCGGCATTTTGTTGGGAGCCAGAGGGTTGGTCCGTGCGAGCTCCCGAACCACGGCCTCTGCCCCGTCCCCGACCACCATAGCCGCCTCGGTGACCCTGCTGTCGCTAGACGTACTGGTCGAGGTGACCTGCCTGGATCAGCTCTTCGATACGGTCCCGGAGCGTGCGACACTCCTCCGTGGTGTAACCGCGGTTCCTGTGGTACCGACAGTGCTTGGACTTGTCGGCGTTGTTGGGAGTGTGACCTGGTGGTGGAAGGGCGAGTAGGTTGCTATTGCTGGCTTCCTCCAGGATGTGGACTCGAGGTGCGTTCAGGGGAGTGTAGAAGTCATATCTCCCCACTCTGTTTGCCCTAGTCGACTTCTTGAACTGGCTGTCGTTGTTGACTTTGATTTTATCCTTGTGCCCTTGTTCCGGCTTCGCTGGTCCTTTTTTGCGAACCTGGTCACGAAAAGCGGAGTGTTCCTCCATCTGGATGTAGCCCGCCGCGCGAGCACGAAGTTCGTCTATGTCGCGAGGGGACTCACGACATAGGCTGTCGACGAATGGTCCGGGCTTGAGTGCCATAAGCATGGCATGCAGGGCGACCTCGAGGTTCAGATTTCTGATCTTAACCGAGGTGGCGGAAAATTGCTCCATGAACGCCCGGAGTGGTTCGTCATCGTTTTGCCTGAGACTGGCCAGGGCAGCTGAAGTGACATGGTGAGGTCAGCTCGTCGCATACTGCGTTGTGAACCTTCTGACTAGGGTGCCAAAACTGTCAATGGACTCGGCAGGCAGTTGGGTACACCAGTTGAGTGCGGCCCCCTTGAGCGAGGTTGGAAAAACCCTACACAAGATAGCGTCATTGTTAGTGTAGTGTTTTACCTGCGTCTTGTCCAGGTCAATGTGCTCATCTGGGTCGGTCGTGCCATCATAGCGATCGAGGTGGAGAGGCTTCCACCCATGAGGGAGTGGTGTCTCCCTGATGCCCTCCACAAAAGGGTGGCGGCGGCAGGATGTCTGATCCCCTGGGACATGAGTAGGGGCCGTGCTGACTTCATGGGCCGACTTGTGCGTCGGTGCATGAGACCGATGCGTGGTAGGTCGTTGAGTTGGTGCCTTGGTCGCAGTCTGAGGTTGAGAGACAGAATGTTCTTCTTCCTCGTGGTGGTTTCTCACATGAGGAGGATGATCAGAGTGGTGTCGAGGGAGTTGAGCACGAATACGCTCGTTCTCGGCGCGCGGTGCTGCCAGGTCGGCTTCATTAGCGGTACGCATTGCCGCTAGATCAGTGTCGTGCTGGGAACGCATGTTTTATAGATTGGCGGCGTGTTGCTGCCGCATCTGTTCGACCTGATCGATCAGCCTCCTTAATGTCGCTTCACTATCCATGGTAGTTGTATGATCCGTCTGTTACGCGTCTGCTATGGCTTCTGGTGAAAACCATAAGCGTGGCCGATGAGAGCTGTCTTGATCGGCCCCACGGTGGGCGCCAAATGTTCTTACCGGAAATCTGCTGTAGAGCTGATCCGCCAGGTAAGATCGGTGAGCCTCCTTCACTAGTACGCTGGTGCTCCAAGATGGGGGTGGTACCTGCAAAAGAGACTCCGATGCTAAAGTTAATGTTTGTGTGAGTATTAGTATCGTATAAGTAATGCACGTACCTTGGGTGTGATTTAGGGTTGCCTTGGGCCTTGGGCCTGAGATAAGATGTAATATGATTAGATAACGGATTTCGTCTGGGGCGAGATCCTCGGGAATTAGTTACGATTCACTTAAATGCCAAGCTGATGTCACGCAGTGCGCGTCCGAGATCAGCTTGCGCTGTGGTGCCGAGCTCGGAGCTCGGCTTCGCAGTACGGATAGTACATGTATTATATGCAACTACAACAATTACCATTGATTTCTAATGATCATTACACAATATGTGGTTCTTTAATAGTAAATTAAAAGTATTAGAAAAAAATTTTTCAACTAAAGCATATACCGATAGATAGTAACAACATGATAAAATTAGTACAACAAGTAAAAATGAATCAAAATCAAATCAAACAATCAACTAATAGAAATTAATTAGTAAACAAACTTACAAATTAGAGGGGAAATTTCTAATTGAAAAACTCTACCTAAGACAAAGGGATTGGTTAGACCTATATACACATGAAACAAATGAATCAATGTATGAATTTAATAAAATCAAACATGGAATTGAAAATAAAATCATAGATTAATACAAAATTCAATAAGAATTAAAATAGAACCCTAAAACTGAAAGAGAAGAAAGACGAACCTAAGTAGAGGGAGACATCAAGGATTATAAGTTAGACGATCATGAGTAAGAGGAAAATTAAGATCATAAGTGTGCGACAGAACGAGAATCACAAAAGAACGACGAGTATGAGCGAGCGAGAAATCGAGATCGAGATTGGGAACAAGCGAGAGAACGTGAATCAAGAAAGGGAAAGAACCGTAAGAGTTGGTTATGAGTGTGAGAGTGAAAGACCCAATCGCAAGTGCGAGAGCAAGAGAGCCAACCACGAACATGAGAGAGACATGACAAGCGTGCGAGAATGTGACTAAGAAATTTTAAATTCCTCTCTTTTTTGTGGAATTTCAAATTCTATTAATTTTAGTTAATTAAAATGCTTCATAAAATGAGAGTATTTAAATTTTTTTTAAAATAACTTATCTAAACAACATAAATTAAAGTGAAGTATTTTAATTTTAAAAATGAATTACCTCACTAAAATGTTTTATCCAAACACATTGTAATGCAAAACTACGTCATTATAAATATATATAAGATAAAGATAAAGATTTATTTGGTTTCTTAATTAGTGTCGGATTCTATGAGCATAAGTTGTAACGACACTAATTGCATGAAAGTTACAATATGACAAAGGTTGGTGAGAACAGACGTGAATGGGGAAGAATATGATATAGACGTGTAAATGTATAGTTTTGTGGATCATAATTTATATATTAAAATTAAATAGATAGATTATACTAACAATGTGATTATATGTGATTAATGTGTATTTAATGCTTAGTAAAAGAAATTAAAATTAAGATATAAAAATACTAAAAGACTTAAAAAACTCCCTTGAGTCCTTCTTATAAGACTTTTAATCTAAACGCATATACCATTATAAATAGCTATGTTAATTGATTTTATTGGATTGACTTAATTGCAGTTTTGATCTCTCAAGTATTGTAATTGTGCAATTTTGATCCTTAAGATTTTAATTAGGTAATTTTAGTCCCTAAAGAATTGTAATTGTGCAATTTTAGTCTTCAATTTTTAATTAAACAATTTTAGTCCCTCAAATATCATAATTGTGCGATTTTAGTCTCTCTCATTAAAAATTTAATAATTTTAA